GTCGTGCATTATTTGCCGACTCTGGGACTGGTTGGAAGAAGCGGAGAGGTGGTCAGTGCATGACATGGTGTCGTGGTATGAAAGAAAGCTGCAAAGGACTGGCTTCTGTTGGTCCTTCACGACTCCCTGGTTGGGGTCTGAGAGGTGGTGCTACACAGTGGCTAGAGACGTTATCAGATATGGCTCAGAATAGAAGCCAGTGGCGATCCTGCTGTAACCTTCTTTTACTTTCTTCATAAAAAGTGGTTGTGTCTCCCTTACCTGAAAGATTTCTTCCAATTGTACCTTCCCGTTCCATCATTACTACCACACTTCCTTACACCAATCTCTTCGTTAGTGTTCTCTTTTTCTTTTGCGCTCCTTAGTTTTTTTTTTACTTCTCTTCGAATTCTCATTGTTTTGTGTGGCGCATATATGTTGGCGCTCTCTTGTACCAATATTCATCTGTTCAAATAAAATAAATAAAAATAAAATCAATGCCTAAACACCGATTACCACGACGTGCATTGCTATCCGGTATTGGAGATGGTTGGAAGAAAGTTAGGGGTGGCCAAACCAAAACGTGGCATCAGTGCTTGAAGTCACTAACCTCTAGTCTGAGCCATGTTGGTAGATGCAGACTACTTGGTTGGGATCCGCGTGACCATCGTAACCAATGGTTGGAGACTCTTGGTGACATGGCTCAGAATCGATCACAATGGCGTCGGTGTACACACTTTGTCTTTCCTTAAACTAATAGATTAAAATCACTTCATATCTTTCTTTCTACCAACTGATTCTTTCTTCTTATACTATATCCTTATATGCAATCTTTCTCCTATATATTACCACCTCTGAATTACCTACTTTTGTGAATCCGGTGTTCATCTTGTTGTGTTAATGAGGTATGGCAACTTGGACCGATGCACATATGTGCCTGGTCCTACGTTGTAGCTGACTGACTGACCCCTAAATATGTTTCTTTCCCAGGTCCCTCAATAAGACATCGTTTTACGATGTGAGCAGCCGGGAAGTGACAGTTGCCTTCATACCTCTAACAGCACCCCCGATCATCTTACTGACGATCGAATTCTTTCCCCGCCGTTTAATAATTCTACCTTACCAGCTACTAACTATTCTAGTATATCTTTATCACAGTGTGCCACCAGTGCTAATGATTTGAGTTCACGAAATGTTATTCCTAGTCTCCTGAAACTAGGCTCGAAACTACATGTTGGAGCTGCCAATGTCCGGACAACATGCTTCTTTATCCAGGACTCTAGAATCTTACACCATCGTTGTATGCTGCGTCTCCGAAACGCGCATACAGTATTAATAGTATTATATTATTATTAATAGTATTAATTACTAAAGCAGACCAGGCTCTCTTGAACTGGATTTCAATACACAGTCACTTGTGAGATGTGTGAATAAATGGGACAAAGAAAGCTCGAAAAGATGGGGACACATGCCGTTGCCTTTTCGTTGTCTCTATCTATGCTTTCACTGATTGCAGCCCGGACGAAGTTGAATTTTATGGGGAGCTATCCAACCTCCAAAGAACTAAACGCTATGATGTGGTAATAATGGCAGGTAATTTTAATGACCAATTAGGTAAACTAGACGAAACCGAAAGGCACTCAGGAAGGTCTTACGGGGTTGCGGCTCAGCGAACAGATAACGGTGACCACTTGTTATTCAGATAACTTCCAAATGCCGAGGTTGGGGAGAATCAGCTCTCTCTCTCTCTCGAAATGCTCTCACACGGCCACGTACATACAACCACTGCCAGGGAAGTCCTAGTCACTGCCTTCTCGCGTCATGAGTATTGTTTACGAAATTGAGAGGACTAAAAGCGAATCACTAGCGCTTTAACCGGGTTGGTGGACATGGGGTTGCATCTCCTGCCGTTGCTCCATTGCCTTGTGGATTAGACCTTTAGGTTGAAGGCTTCGGGTGTGGCCCTCTAAGAGAACCACATGCCTCGGTCCGGGCACCTGAGGAGTATCACAGCCCACACAAATAAAATGAAATGACGATAATTACTGAAAATGCTATTCGCACCTCGACTGAAAGTCAGACAATTCGCGTTCATTCTTTTTTCAATTATTACGTCACTTGTCCGCTCTTTTATTCCCACTTTGTGTATCCTTATATTTCAACTTATACAGCAGCTCACCTATGGTGGGAGCTGTTCTGTCTGAACGATCTCGATGCTTCCACCAAATACGAATACCGAAACAGTCCTTCTGAAACCACGTATATTATTCAAACTGACTTTTTTCAACGTTCGCACACTAACGCATATCGGACAATAGAGAGAGTTGGCTATACCTTTAGGGTATTTGGGGGCTGAGGATGCTAGACGACTCTGTTTGATCATCGTTATCTCCGAAGTATTGCCAGCATCCAGTGGCAACACCATGTTAGTAATACAGAGGTTCAGAATTGTGTGTTCGGGCATAGCGACGATAATTCAGTTGATGTCACTATCTTGAAACATTGACTTCGGTGGGTTGTACGTGTTCTACGAATGTCATCCCAGAGAATTCCACGTCGTGCATTATTTGCCGACTCTGGGACTGGTTGGAAAAAAATGGAGAGGTGGTCTGAATGAAAACTCTACTGGACTGGCTTCTTTCGGTCCTTCACGACTCCCTGGTTGGGGTCCTAGAGATGTTATCAGATATAGCTCAGAATATAAACCAATGGCGATCCTACTGTAATTTTATTTTACTTTCTTCGTTTAATTAAGGACGTATCTTTAAATGGAAGAATTCTGTCATCGGAATCGGTTACTTCAAGCGGTGTTTGTCAGGGTTATCCGCTTTCCCCATTTTTATTTAACTGTGTCATAGACATGCTTTTAGGGATAGCACTCATCGCCTGACTTTTCAGGGATTGATCTTCTACCAGGAAATTCACTTGTTGACCTAGGATACACAGATGATATAGTTCTGTTCGGTGAAGTCTGTAAAAGTGCAGTCTTTTGAACATCTTAAGCAATAAATCATGTAGGTTTGGAATGCGATTCACCCCCTCCAAAGGTAAAATATTCAGAATCGGCTTGCGTCATTACCTGAATTATTAATAGGGAGTGAAGTAGGTGAACGTATCAATCACCTAATTTATCTCAGGAGTCTCATCAGTACTGATGGTCTGGTGTCATTGAGACTACAATTTATGGATGAACCAATCAGATATGAGATAACAGCCATTTGATTTCGGCGCGAAATCCATCCATTTGGCTAAATTGCGTTTTGGCATTTCGGCTAATGTCAGTCGGTGATGAAAACCCTAAATCCTTATCCTAACCATCAACTGTAAATCACAATTCTAATCTCTCACACTGCTTTATAACCCTCATTCAGTAGGTGAACACTCTCGAGGTCACGTTATCGTCTCTCGAAGGTCGTCCATAAATTATAGTCCCACCCTGGTATCTGACGAAGTCTCAGCACGGATTCAGAAGGCTTAATCGGCTTTTGCCAACTTGCGTCACTTGTGGATTAGACGAGATATCTGTCTTCAAGCTAGAGCCAGTTTACTGCGCAGCTGTTCACTCCGTTCTACTTTATAAATGTGAAACATGACCATTAAGAGTAGAGGATATTTGTAGGTTAATGGTATTCGATCATAGGTCTCTACAAAACATTGCTCGTGTATGCTGGGAGCAAGGAGTAGGCAATGCCTGCGTTGGGAATAGAGTACTAGGTAAAGATGTGAAATCGATTAATGAGGTAGTAAATCTTCATCGACTGAGGTGGTTGGTAGAAGTGTTGCGTATGCCCACCTACCTCAATGGACAGTTTTTTTACACAAGAGCAGACTGAGAAAAGGCTAGGGTCGGCCAAACCAAAACTAGACATCAATCCGTGAAGTTACTGACAATCAGACTTATCCATGGTAATAGGTACAGACTACCTGGTTGGGGTCCGCGTGATTATCGTAATCAATGGTTAGAGACATTGAATGACGGCTCAAAGTCCTTTGCACTGGCGTAGGTGCATTCATTTCCTGTCTCTCCCCAAATCCTAAGATTCTAATTTCCTCATAACTTTTTCTGATTTTATTTCACTAATTTGTGTTTTCTTTTCGAGTCGTATCTTCGATGCCTAATATTTCGTATTATCACTGATACTGCTACTGTAGTGAACAAGAACACCAGTGGGAACAATATAATGTATTTGACACAAAATTACAGGACTTATTAATAAAATCTAAAAATCGTATAGTAAATGCTTAACTTGTAAAATGTCTATCAATTGTCTCAAATGACTCCGACTTCATTGTTCTTGCATTTTCATACAAATTGCATTCTGTTTCCATTCTTCACTGTTCGATCCTCTTGTCTCTCTGTTGTCAGACATTCTGTTCACGACTAACGTCATACACCACTTGTGTCAATATAAGTAGCACACACCACACTACTACCTCAACCATTCAGGGATTTCGCCCGACAATTTCATCTCTGTAATAATGGGGTATGGTAACTTAAACCTATGTACATAAGTACAAGTTCTACGCTGTCTGAGTGTAACTTCGATGTACCTACTTCAAAATCCTTCTTGGTTGTGTCTCGCCTCCAACCTACTTATCACTTCAGTATTATGTACTGCTAAAACCTATTCTGGCAGTACATTTCTGATAGCGGATTCCGCTAACTCCAACTCGTGTGCATGTCTTTTAGCAGGGCCATTTTCTTTTGACTCTTTCAGATTCCAAATGAACTTAACTTCTTTGAAAGTCGATTGATTTTTCGCTTAATGCACTGCATGTTTTAGTATGGCGGTTGTGTTCTGTAAGATACTCGTAATTTCCTAAGTAGGCTAATTTTACAAGGGAGTGGAGAAATTATTAGTATCGAGGTATTATATAATGAGAAGTATTAGTCTCAATGTATATTTCCATTGGATTTTACCTCTCAGATTCTTATTTAATATTTCTTCGTATTCTAATCTTTTACATATCAATAATCTAAAAATGTACGATTTTAACTGTTATTTTTATCCTTCTTTGAGGTCGAAGATGAAATTCAAACACTGCGACAAGTCTTATTATCTAAATTTCGTCGGCAGCAGTTTTTAAAGCGTCAGCTTGGTATAACACCAATTGAGGAACTAAAAAGTGAGGTTAAACAAGGTCTAGATACTTTGCGAACCAGTGATGCGTAAGTCTATTAGTTATTTGCTAGATTTCTCTTAATGTTGTTGCATAGGCTTACCCATGTTCACGTCAAAGTAATATGAGTGTCCTGAAAAAATATAACGCTGTTGATGTGATGTGATTATGGTTTACAGAATAGCAAACTAAATAGTTAGAAATATGATATTAATGACTTAAACTATATTTTGAATTCAACACTAGCCTTTAATTTCGTTCTTAACATTGAATCACGTTAAAAGACCTGTAGTCAGGGCTCTCTTTACAACAGTTCAGATATATATATTTGAAAAAAAGTGTTTATGATTCTACCTCATTATATGATAGTTGTTATGACAAGAGCAAGACTTGTGAAGTGAATATTGTTGTGATTTGTGGTCGGCTAATATCATATGATCAGGTAGCCAATCAGAATACGACTCATACAATCTTAGCACTGTGCCACAACAATGACTTATTGACCGATATGAACAGCCTAGTGTCCTTATTAGTCCTTTTTCCGCCTAGCTCTGCCTGTTGAGACCAGAACGCCAACATCAGCCTCCACTGCACGAAGTTCATGAAGAGAGGTCATATTGAATAATTTAATCATAAGTTGTATTTAAGGATTACATATCCTTAACAATTTCACTTATCACTCTAATGATAAATGATTTTAGAAAGAAATAACATTCATTTATTATACGAAATTGTTCTTGTCCTCTGATAACCTTCTAGATATCTTAAAACATCAGCTGTTGTAAAAACTGCTAAGGATAAGACATCAGCTGCATTATTTGAGAAATGGAATTTATTACGGTATGTTTATCAACAGCTTTATTTATTGATGTTTATTTCATTTAATATGTATATCAAAATTTTATGTAGACATTCTCATCAGGTGGAAAGAAAATTTTATTATTTATTTTATTTGAATACATAAATATTACTATAAAGGGGCACCGAATACATTTGCTCCACGTAAGTCACTTGTGTGTGGGCTGTGGTACTGCCCGGGTGCCCGAACGGAAGCAGGTGCTTTTTTAGAGGGCTACACCCGGAGCCTTCAACCTAAAGGTCTGATCCACAAGGCAGTGGAGCAACGTCAGAAGATGTAGTCCCATGGTAGTCGGTGACCAACAATAGGTTCATACTCCGTTTGTTCTCTCTGGATATTGAAGCCAGCCCTTTCGCACCATTGGTTCAGAATCAGGGTTGTTCAACTCCCCTAGGCGGACCCTCCGTGTCCACTGAAACCCGGTTGAAGCTCCGGATATTCTCTTTCTATCCCCTCAATTTCGCAAACAACAATTATGCCGCGAGTAGGCAGTGAGAACTTCCCTGTGAAAGGAATTTGTAGTAAATTTTTTCACGTTTCTTTACTTTTAATTGGTAGGTGGGTTAGGGTTACATACTTTTTATTATTGCGGGAACCCAAACAGATAGGTGTGAGTTTTCGACTTCATGGATAAGCCACGGTTCGCATTGGTCATTGCATTTTTTCAAGTGTCGTTAGGTTTTATAATGTGATCACTAACCTCTAGTGTGCTAGTTATTCACACTGTTATTCTTATGTCGATCCTACCTCCCACGCAAATTAGCTTTCATTTGAAGCCATGTATTAATATAGAGCCACATACTGTACTCATCCAACAGAATGACCAAAATGAAAGTGAACATAACTGAAATTGTATTCCATCTCTTACGATCCATGTTGGAAGACTGTAAAAATTCTACACCTAGCCATTTTTATTCAGTTCATAGATGGGTATGTGAATTCAGTAGTATACTAAGATGGAAAATCTAAAAAAACATTCCTTAAAATGGTTTCCTATCTACAATGGCTTGTGTTGATTTGATCAGATCAACTCTGTCTTGTCATTGTCCTATCAAAATATATGAAAGGGGCTAATTGCTTGTGCGATGGCCAACGTTTTGCTACAGTAAGAACTCGTTTTGGAGGACTCATGATGACACGTACATATATTGCTGCTTGTTCCTCATCTTCCATTACTGATTTTTGTGTATTGAGTGAAAGGTGAGTTTTGAAGGAAGCCTTCTGATCTTTAGAAATCTAGGAGTTCATACGTAGTAATTCTAGCAGGTGATTTTGACATCCATGTAGATATCCTAAGTCAAGCTCAAAAACAATTATGTAGGTCTTTTGGTGTCCCAACAAACAGATAATGACGACTGTCGCCTGCCATTAATCCTTAGATAACCGTCTATTTCTAGAAAGTACCAATGATAGGGATAGAGAGAAACATTGTCTAAATTGACCATACTCAGAATCAACACAGCAATGGACACACAAACCATCTCGCTATCAACTTTCATTAATGTTTTCATTAATGCTTTATCTGGACTAAATAATCTAATGAGAGCATGCAGTTTACGCAGAAACACCTCATAAAGCAAGACTCTTTAGAGGGATTCATTTGAAGATTAAAATGTCAGAAATCCATCCAAAGACGAAGTAGTGAATCAGTTATTCGATTTTGAAAAGGAAATTCATTCCGACGAAGCTTTAATTGATATCTAAACACCTTTGTGTAAGCCAAAGATATGTTTTAGCAACTACAGCCAAAAAATAAGGAACGCTTTTAGTTAACTTTTACTTATTTTGATAGCTCCTCAAAGACTCACCTTGGCTGTCTCAAAGAGTGAAGAAAGCTTAGGCGTAGACCAACAAACGGCTTATATCATAATCGCTATCTGGAACGCATTCACAGGGAAGCTTTTAGTCATTTACCAATGCAACCCCAAGGTTTGTGTTCGATGGCGATATACACCACCCCGTTTTAATCGTAGAAGTTGTGACTGCCATCTTTTCGTCCTAGTCAGTCAGTCAGTAACAAGGTAGAACTTCGTACGTACGTACGTCAGTTCGAGTTGCCACACCACATTAGCACAGAGATGCAGTTGTCGATTGAAATCCCGTAGTGGTAGAGATAGTAAAAGTGTTAACAGTAATCGGAAAGATTAGGGCTTGAAGATGTTATTCAAGGAGTATAATACGGTGAAATAAATTTGGAAATAAGAAAAAGAAAAGGACATGGAAAATTCAGAATATTAGAATTTAGGAGAACACAAATAGTGGATGCACTTGCGCCATTGCAAACGATTATGAGCCATGTCATTCAGGGTCTCTAACCATCGGTTGCTATCATCTCACGAATCGCAACCAGATAGTCTACATCTACCAACATGACTCAGTTCACTTGTCAGTGACTTCATGGACTTGTGCCATGTTTTGGTGTGACCGCCCCTAGCTTTCTTCTGATCTACTCCTATACCATTGAACATCGCGCGTCGAGGCAGTCGGTGGTTGGGCATACGTAACACATGTCTCAGCTATCTCAACTGATGAAGTTTCACCACTTCATCAATCGATTTGTCATCCTTACTTAGTACCCGTTTCCTAACAACTGTGTTACTTACTCGGTGTTCCCAGGATATACGAGCAATGTTTCGAAGACACCTATGATCGAATACTAGTAACTTAGGAATAACCTCTACTCTTACCGGCCATGCTTCACTGCCATAAAGTAGAACAGAACGAACTGCTGCGCAGTGAACCCGTGCTTTGGTTGATAGACGGATATCTCACCTACACCATAAATGACGCAAGTTGGTAAAAGCTAGTCGAGCCTGTTTTTCGTGTTGAGAAATACTACGATTGTGGGGCGTTTGAATTTGTGTCTGTGTCCAAGAACCTGACGTAGTGTGAATATCTGGTCTATGCATCCACGTCCGTGTCGAAAACATGTCCGATTTTCTCTAGTCTGCTCCTCACGACCTTTAGTTAGGCGTCGAAGTAGTATTGAAGCCAATATTTTAGACACTATATTAGTCAAACTGATTCCTCTGTACATGGGCTCCAGTATCCTGAGGGAACAAATGGCGTATGAACCAATTGTTGGTCACCGGCTTCCATGGGACTGCATCTCCTTACGATGCTCCACTGCCTCGGGGTGTGGACCCCTAAGAAAACCACCTGGTACGGTTTGGGCACCCGGTCAGTATCACAGCCCTCACACATATCCAATAAGATTTGTGTGGCGCATATTTATTTGGTGCCTCTTTGTACCATTATCTATGTGTTAAAATAAATAAATTCACAAGAGGACTTTTGTCCTTTCTTATAGACTGGCACAATCAGTGATTGAGACCAGTCAGATGGGATTACGTCCAGTTCCCAAATTCTACCTAAGACCTCGGTTAATCTCATTGCTATTACTGGACCATCATCCTTAAAAATCTCAGGAGTAAACCTGTCAGGGCCTGCTGCTCTCCCTCGCTTCAGATTTCCTATGGCTTTTTCAACTTCGTAAAGAGACGGAGGACCTACAATAACTTGCCATTCAGGTTGACTGGAGATCGTGGGAAACCGGTGTGGCTGAAGGCCTGTTGAACTGATCCCTAAAGTGTTCTGCCCATTGATCCAATCTCCTGGATTGAGAATGTATAATATCTCCATCTTTCTCTGAGATTGTTTCGCTAACAGTTGGTTTCCTAATTCCAGTTTCCTTAACGAGTCTGAACAATTGTCTGCTATTACCTATTGCTGCTGCTTTTCCCATCTGTCTTGCTTTCGCTACCCACCACTGTTCGTGATCATTGCGTAGGCTTATTGTCAGCTGGCGCTTAAGCTGACTCCGCTCTTCATTATGTTCAGAGCCAGGTGGAATGGGTTTCCGAGCATCTATCAGTGCGATAGATGCTGCTGAGATCCAGTGTTGCTCCCTAACCTTGCGGGTTACCTTACTAGCAGATATCACTGCTGTTTCCACAGCTTTTCGGATATCATTTCATGCTGCCTTGGGGTGGGCATCACATACATGGCTGCCTAACTGTTTTCCTAGTTGTTCCTGAAATATGCTCTTAGCTTGACTATCATTAAGTAGGGCCCTAAGAGGTTTCCTTGTAGCGTCTTTCCTACGTCCAGTAAGACGCAGACGAGCATGCGCTCGTACTAGAGCATGATCTGAATCTGAGCATGTGCTCCAGAATGAGCGACAGTCTTCTATCGAACCCCTTCATCGGTGGCTGATAGCGATGTGATCTATTTGGGTCCAACGTTGGGACGGATTCGGGGGTCGCCATGTTAAAAGATGTTTTTCCTTATGCTTAAAGTTAGTATTTGCGAGAAGCAGGCGGTTATCTGAGCATATTTGCAACAGACGGTCGCCATTATCTGTTCTTTGAGCCACGACACCATAAGATCCACCTAGGTTTCTTTCCCTATCGCTTAGTTTACCTACTTGAGCATTAAAGTCACCAGCCACCATTACTACATCAGAGCGCCTAGCTTTTCGGAGAAGGTCGGAAAGCTTTCTGTAAAACTCGTCTTTTACATCATCTGAGCTGCAGTCAGTGGGAGAATAGGCAGAGACGACGAAGAGGCAACGACGAGTATCCCTATCTTTCCGGATCTTTACTGTTCCGTTGGGTCGGACCTTGTACAAACGACTGTCTACTGGGATCCAGTCTAAGAGAGCTAGTTCTGCCCTAGGGCTCAATGCTATATCCACACTGGCGAGGCTACGAGAAGCCGTATCAGGGCTTCCAGAGTTGGTTATTTATTTTGATATGGTGAGGTTTTAGTGGCCCGTGATCTGACTCCACTTTGATCATATAAATGTTTGTTATCTCCTGATCCTCGTATGCAATCATCGACTTAAATCGCGTTAGTCAATAACGGAATTAAATAAGTCAAATAACGGGAGTGGACTTTTGGATACATATATTTTGTATATGAAGGTAATGGAACAGTGAGAAGAGAAACGACGCAGAGTGGAGATGGCTGGTAAGCCAACTCCCCTTTAACCAAGCGCTAATCAATATTTATGGTTACAAAAAAATAAGTTACTGATACGTGATGAGTAATGGGATAAGAAATGTACACCCACCTACGCGCTCACATGAAAACAGTCAAGATTGGTAAGCGAATAATTAACAAGGTCAGAATGTGACTCAAGTAGAATGAATAGATTGAGCTGCCCGAAAGCTAGAATAAGATATATGGGCTTAACATAATAACCGACACTACAAGGTCAAATGAATGACGCTACTCGGATACTGTATGCGCGTTTCGGAGACGTAGCACACATTGATGGCGCGAGATTCTAAAGTCCTAGCTAAAGAAGCCTGCTGTCCTATTTGGCACAGTGTTCGGACGTTATAAGCTCCTACGTGTAGTTTAGAGCGTGGTTTCAGGGGACCAGGAATAACGTTCCACGTACTCGAATCGTTTGCCCTAGTGGTGTGAGGTGATAAACGGACGTGATAGGGGTTAGTCGTGGAGATAAGAACGAGAGGTATTATGAGGTATGGGAAGGATTTGAATGTGACCAACTTGGTCTCGTGTGCTGTTACGGGTGTGAGGGCTGATGTCACTTCCCGGCTGGCCACACCCTGGGAGGGTCTTCTTGGGGAACCTGAAAAGGAGATCGGCTTAGGGTTGGTCTTAATGACCTGGGGGCGTGACCACAGAGCCCAGGGAGCAACTGTTTGAGGCCGGTCACTCACGGCCTTTTCGTGGAAGGTTTTTTATGTGTTAGCTCCGTTCTTCAAAGGGTTTTACCACCGGAGACGGAAATCCGTGAGGTGTGAGATTTTTAGGGTCGACCTTTTCTGACCCCTTCCTTCCTTGTGAAAGGCAGCATCGCTGCAGATGCTGGTTGTTCGAGGGAAACACCTTACTGCTGTCATATTTCTGTACAGTCAGCATTACGACTTCGCCCTCAGACCTTGAGTTGCTGCTTTTAGTCTTACCGTTCTCCAGTCGACTTGCCTGGCATGGTAGAACCTACAGGAACATATGTTCCAGCCAATGTAGCTCTGTTGGGTCATCACGATAGGCAAGCCCGACCACCGCGTCAAGGTAGCAGCTTCGGTCGGGCTTTTCGTCCTAACTTCATCTTCATTGGACTTTTTAGGTGAAAAAGTAACTAGTAGTATATCTAACATTCATGAATGACCGAGACCAGGAGATATTCGTTCTTTATAAGCACGATTAAAAACATCGTGATTCTTCAACACATGTGGTGCTGCTATCGGTTCTCCCTAGTGTTGAAACAGTATGTAGTTCTCGTACGATATTTAACAGTTTCGATTCAATTTATTTCATCCCTATAAAAATTGACAAGACAAAGTTAAACATGTAACTTATGGAATTTTTATGAGAACTAGAATTATGGAAAGCAAGTTTACTTAGTTTAACGGCTACCTTGACGTGGTGGTTATAGTGACTGAAACAGTCGTACTGCTGACTGTACAACAGGTGTGTTAGCAGTAAGGTATTTCCCTCAGAAAACCAGCGTAACGGTCATACTGCCTTCCCAAAAGCTCGACCATAAAAATATACACTTTCTTATCTCACGGGTATCCGTCTCCGACAGTAGCGTCTGGACTAGTACAGAGCTAACACAAAAAGGTCGTGTGACCGGCCTCAAGCAGTTGTCACTTAGGCACTGCGGTCATGCTCTCAAGTCACTAAGATCAACCCTAACCCAATTTCCTGTCCAGGTATCTCTAGAAGAACCTTTCTACTGTGTGGGCAGCCGGGAAGTGATGATCGCCCTTATGCCTCTAACAGCACTCAAGACCAGTGTGTTCATAATCACTTTCATTCTCCGATTCCTATTATTTCTCCTACCTTGACTATCGACTCTAAAATTCCTCCTTCGAGTTCCTCCTCTAGTGTCACCGTGGCCAATGACTTTCGTGCGCGAAATACTGTCCCAAGTCTACTGAAACCTCTCTAAACTACTCTTTGGAGCCTTCAACGTACGTACCGTATGTCAAATCGGCCAGCAGGCCTCCTTAGCTGAAACCCCAGAATCTCGTACGATTAACATATCCTGTGTCTTCAAAGCACGCATACAAGATCCTAGTGTGGTCATTCACTTAACCTCACTTCGCCAAAATGAGGAGCTGACGAGATATACCCTCAGTTTATCTGGCGACCTCATGGCAAGTTCTTGTGGACTGGCGGGTGTGGACATAGCACTGAGTACGAGGGCAGAACAAGCACTTTTAAGATGGACCCCGTGATAACAGTTGCGTATGTGTTGTTCGGCTGAACAGTCCAGTGAAGGCTACTTACTTAAACACTATCAGTTGAGTCAGAGCTTATGGCGAACTGTCATCTGATTTTTCAACCTCAAGTGATGTGCGTCAAAGCTACCCACTATCTCCATTTTCGGTCAATTTCATCATAAGCCTACTGCTGGAAATAACGTTCTCGTCGTCTGAATTTTCGGGAATCGATCTCCTAGCAAGTGGTTCACTTATTGACTTGGAATACACAGATGACGTAGTCCTGTTAAGCGAAAACTCTGATAAAATGCAGAGTCTTTTGGTAGCACTGAGCAACAATGCCAGAATGTTTGGGTTCCTTTTGTCCTCACTTAAATGCAAGTTGTTGCTCCAGAACTGGCCTACGTCAACACCTGAACTAAGGATAGGGAGTGAAGTAGTCGAACGCGTCAACAACTTCACTTGGAAGTCTGATCAACCCAAATGAGTTGGTTTTTGACATAGTATCTGCATGGCTTTTGCTAACTTTTGTCTCCTGTGGTGAAGGCGAGATATCCGTCTATCAATTAAAGGACGAATGTACTGTACGGCAGTCATATATGTTCCTGGTCCTACGTTGTAGCTGACTAACTGAATCACTAACTTTCATCTATGTGCACTTGTCTTATATATGTGTCTGTGTTTTTTTTACCTACTTAGACTATATAAAATCACTTAACGATTCGTAGACTTACTGATTTTACAATTGATCCAAATAGCACGATCTTAACCGGGACGTCAGGTCCATGCACCATACATTACATACGATTTTCACTGTTTACAAAAGGCTGTACGACTTATAGTCTACTAATTACTTCTGCATAAAATATAACATTCCTGAAAAATTTTGCACTAGACTTCTTTTTTTTACGTTTAAAACAACCTCGTTATTATTTGGATTACTTTTAACGATATGTACAAAATTTAACTACAATTTAAGTATAACTAGAGTTAAGTGCATTCACAAAATGATCTTAACCTTTATAGATTAAGAATTCTTCAAGTAACTTTTTGTCAGATAACTACTTGTATATTTCAAAGCTGCATCTGTCGATCATTATTTTGAGATATTTTTATAGATAGAAATAAATAAACACGTTGACAGTAAATAACCCAGGCTGTTCGTGAGTAAGTAGACGACCAACAGGCAGGATTCCGTAAGGATAGATCGTGTACAGACCAAATCGCAACTCTACGGATCATTGTGGAACAATCAATTGAATGGAATTCATCAGTCTACATCAACTTCATTGACTACGAAAAAGCATTTGATAGCGTAGACAGAACAACAGTATGAAAGCTTCTTCGACACTACGGCGTGCCTCAGAAAATAGTCAATACCATACAGAATTCATATGATGGATTAAACTGCAAAATTGTGCATGGAGGACAGTTGACAAAGTCGTTCGAAGTGAAGACCGGTGTTAGCCAAGGTTGCTTACTCTCACCCTTTCTCTTTTTCCTGGTGATCGACTGGATCATGAAGATGTCAACGTCTGAAGGGCAGCACGGGATACAATGGACATCTAGGATGCAGTTGGACGATCTAGACTTCGCAGATGATCTGGCCTTCCTGTCCCAAACGCAACAACAGATGCAGGAGAAGACGAACGGTGTGGCAGCAGCCTCAGCAGCAATAGGTCTCAATATACACAAAGGGAAAAGCAGGATTCTCCGATACAACACAGAATGCACCAATTCAATCACAATTGACGGAGAAGATTTGGAAGTTGTAAAAACCTTTACGTATTTGGGCAGCATCATTGATGAACAGGGTGGATCTGATGCAGATGTGAAGGCGCGGATCGGCAAAGCAAGAGCAGAATATTTACAACTGAGGAACATCTGGAACTCAAAACACTGTCAACCAACACCAAAGTCAGGATTTTCAATATATTTTCATCCGTAAACTGATAGGTTAATGTAATTGAATGAAAAACCAATTTGATTGTACTAAGATAAATGTGTTTTAGTTTCATAGTTTCTTTGATACATTTTAGACAAACTAATACATACAAATCCTTGGAGAATAAAGTGGGTTCAGCGTGTCTCAATGTTTACGTAAGTGTTTAATTATACCTAATAAGATTATATAATCCTCAAAACGTATTTTTAGTCTTCTGATTCTGGTTTTATAACATGATTAATCAAAATAAAACATCAACTTTGAATTACTGTAGTTTTAGAGATAAGAAAATTTTCACTTTGTCTAAGACTTGACATCTGTTGGCAAATGTTTTATTGCTGGTCTGATAGCTTTTAAATCACTTACAAAATCCCTATAGATTAGTCAAAAAGAAAACAAAGCAAAAAATTTTTTGGGTGAATTGTTTCCAATAACCTCGACAACAGTCTCTGCAGTTATAAATCCGTAACTGTTGTTATTTTATTAAGGCCAAAATAAAGGATGCTAGTGAATTTTAAAAAAGTGATGAATCTTTACCTCTGTTACGGCATAAATACCTTGAAATCGTATTATTTGTAAACTTAAAAAAATCAAAAGGCTTCGTTGTGAGGTGTCAAGTTATAATCAATATGATAATGATAAAGCAAATTATGTCAATAAAATGCATAGTGAGCAAATTTCCCCTCGGTAATAGAGATAATGACGTCGTGTGAATATGATACGTAATAAGTAAAGTGCTGTCAAAGTGATTATGATAAGAATTCATGTGAATTGCGAAAGATCAATGTGTAGATTATGAAAGATAGGAACACACAAAAAATTGGGTGTGGGTAAGGGATTTACAATATCCAGTTCAGGTACCTAGTGGTCTAGTTGTAGATCCAGATAAACACAAAAGTTTAATATACCTCTTCTGGATGCATAAGTTAGACTTTCTGGAGTTGATCCCAGATAGGTTCAGCTATGTAGAAGAGTCTTAATCTATCTAGCTCCTTGAAGTTGTGGACCGCTTTGTGATGTAATTTCTTCTATCCTTCTGTAGAAATTCTCTAGTTTCTGTTGTGTACATACATGTTTATTTCAATGTTCAGACAACTTGAAGGATGTCTTCATTGGGTAACCAAGTAATTGTTTGGTTATCCACTCAGGCAATTGCAAACTGTGCTGTATCTATTAACTACGAGCGTTACAGCTTTCTGTCTTCACTTATAGTCAACTACATAACTCATCTATCTATAAATCCAGTTTTACTTGGAGTTGATTAAAATTAATATTGTTTCTCCTCAATAGATCGAAATTTTTTATAGGAAGTAAAAGGGCATATGTTAAATTTCCCAATCAGCTCTACTGTGTTACCATTTTTGCCAACATTTTTATGAACCTATAATAACAGAAAGACTGGATTGAGCTGTCATTTATATTTTCTAAGAATTCCACGGTATTGTAAGACTATAGTTGGAGTAGTTCATTCTTAAAAAAGAAGTCTATTTACATTGTATTTTTTCCGACCTTCAGATTTGGATGTAATTTAAAGAATAAGTGGATATTGTTCTGAATTTTCAAACGTAATAGTTATACAATGCTATTCGCTATCCATTTTTCCTTGTTATTTATCTAGATGTCTATATCATTCTAGGATATGTGTATCAGTATTGCTCCTTATTAGTAAGCTCTATTGAAGATGATAGTTATATTGGGAATAATTTAGTGGTTAGTTTAGGAAATCTATCCCTTTTGTTCACACATTATCATTTGCTTGTTCCCAATCATTTATGTTGCATACAATTATCATTTTGTCAAATGGAATTCTGAAATCAACTTCATCATATTGCAATATAGACTATTCCAATTACATAATTTATCTTCTACTTACGTATTAAAATGTTTGTTTGTTTGTTTTTCAAAAAAATTCTTCATTCGCACACTCATCTGTTAACATGTGTATATTCTGTTCTATTTACTACTATTGTATTTTGCATCTTCAGTAAATGACACTGTATTATTAAGCTTATTATCTAAATATCGATCCATATATTATTAACTGATTCGACATTGTTCGATAAATTGATTTGAATTCTATTAAACTATTTTTCACTGTCATTCTAATATTTTGTTTCTTGTTTTCTTTCTTTGTTGAAACAACCCACAAAAATAGTTTGGATCTTTATTTTGTCTCATATTTATTCCATTTGACTTTCGAGCGTTTTAACACTTCATATTGTAGTGAATGAGAACACAAATGGGAACGATCGAATGTATTTGAATACAAAATTATAGAACATTCTAGTACAATCTGAGAACCATATAGTAAATACCTTATTTGCAAAATGTCAATCAATCGTCTCAGACTTCACTCTTCGTTCACCTCCACAGCAATCATTCTCGGTTCTCGTTCTCTCACATTCGATCTCCTTAACCTTATGATGCCAGGCTTGTCACTTCCGATTGATGATGCATACTACTTATATCTGTCGACATCATTATCACATACCACAAAACTAATAGTCAACTATTCATTAGCCCGTCTAGTGTTCAAAATTAATCAAGTTTACCTTACTTTTTATTTATATTTTCATTCAATTAGTTTGTTATGTTGTTGTTTGTTGAATTATATATATTCACAGAAGGAAAGCATGTCTAACCTCCCTTTCTGTTTGCACGGTTTGATTCCTTAAAGCAGTGACCACATGTATTATGACCTAAGTATTTTTCTCTACCCATTAACTTCTGTCCATGCAATCTTGATTATGTAATCAATTACAGTTATTTGCATCATTAATTGTAGTCTCATCTCTCTTTGTACAGCTAAATGTTCTTTATGTCATATCAGTTTCCACTACAATGTATTTTTGTGTGTGATTTTTCTGTCCGTTTACGAAAACATCCACTTCATTTTGATTAAATGAAATAAGTTTTATTTTTATTTTTGACCATTGAATGCCCTGGTACGGCCGAGAGTGGGGAGAGTCCGCTCTCCCTCTCGAAATACTCTCACACGGCCACGTGTATGCAGCCTCTGCCAGGGAAGTCCTACTCATTGCCTTCTCGTGGCGGGGGTGTTGTTTACGAAAATGAGAGGACGAAAAGCGAATGTCCGGCGCTTTAACCGGATCCCAAACCAATGGTGCACATGGGCTCCAGTATCCTGCGGGAACAAATGGCGTATGAACCAATCGTTGGTTACCGGCTACCATGGGACTGCATCTCCTTACGATGCTCCACTGCCTTGTGGGTTAGACCTTTAGGTCAAAGGCTCGGGGTGTGGCCCCCTAAGATAACCACCTGCTTCGGTTTGGGCACCCGGGCAGTATCACAGCTCACACACAAATTGATGAACTCTTTATGCCTATGGAAATTACCTTTCTCGCTTTGAAAAACAAACAATTGATTCAGATTATTATCATTACAATTATTGTCATTATTAATACTATTATTGTTATTATTACTACTATTATTGTCATTATTGTTATTATTATTATTATTATTATTATTATTATTATTATTATTATTATTATTATTATTATTATTATTATTTTCCACATTATTCACCCTCTTTTATACTTATACAGCGGCTCGTCTTTGGTGGAAATTCGACTGTATCTAAACGTTCTCGAGTCACTGTCCGGTTGAAAATTGTATGTTACCACCGAATACGAGAACTGAAGCAGTTTTTCTGAAACCACGTGCACCATTCAAACTGGCTGCCTTCAACGTTCGCACATTTATGCAGGTCGGACAACAGATAGGGCTGGCTATGTCTTTGGAAAGTCTTAATATTGATGTTTGTTGTCTATCCGAGACCCGTATTCAAGACTCTGACGAAGTACTACAAATTCGATCTCCATCTGTCGCATCGAAAAGCTTGTTTTACGTGCGCTTATCTGGGGACCCTGTGGCATCTTCGTCTGGTCTTGCTGGCGTTGGTGTCGCACTAAGCGCTAGAGCTGAGGCAGCACTAGTCGATTGGATCCCCATTAACAGTCGGTTATGTGCTGTTAGATTGGAAAGTTCCATCAAAGTGAGAAGAAATCGGCGTGAGAAACGATGTCTTTTCGTCATCTCCGCCTATGCCCCGACAGATTGCAGCCCGGATGCAATCAAGGATGAGTTTTACCACCAGTTATCAGTTCTTCTCCAGAAAGTGCGTTCGACAGATATTGTAGTACTAGCCGGAGACTTGAATGCCCAGGTCGGGCGTCTAGGCACAGAAGAGAGTCGTTTAGGTGGCCGATGGGGACTCGTTGGTCGCAGGTCAGATAATGGGGACCGTCTACTGCAACTTTGCTCAGACCACAACCTGTTTCTGGCTAGCACTAACTTTCGGCACAGTCATCGCCGATGTGCCACCTGGCGTCCTCCTTCTGCATCTCAAGTCTGGACTCAGATTGATCACATCGCGATCAGCTACCGCTGGCGTGGTTGTGTACAAGACTGCCGCTCCTTTTGGAGTACCTATCTGGACTCTGACCATGCCTTGGTCTGCGCCAATCTTGCCTTACTTTTCAGTGGACAACGAAGTGACCACCACCAAAAGATTGATGTTAGCAAGCTGGTTGCAACTTCTGTTGCAAGTAAGTATCGAACCGAGCTAGCCTCTAGGCTAGCTACCACTCCACGGAAAAGTATAGATGAGCATTGGTTGCAATTGCATGACGCCATGAAAATGGCGGGAACAGTCAGTTGTGGGTTTGCGAAACGTCCCGCTTATAAGCACTGGGTTTCTTCTGGTTCCTTACAACTCATTGAAGCCCGTCGGTCTACTCTGGGTGACCGTGAGTTTGACCATAAACGAAGGATGTTATGTAAGGAAATTGGGCAAAGCTTGCGTAAGGACCGAGAAGCCTGGTGGTCGAAGCGTGCTAATGAGCTGGAAGCAGCAGCTGCATCTGGTAACTGCCGGAAGCTCTTCCAGCTCATCCGAGCCACTGGCAGCAAGAAGTCTGGTGTGAGTGAGGATGATGGGATGCCAATCACTAACATCCATCGACGTCTTGGACGGTGGGCAGAATTTTTTGAAGGGCAGTTCAACTGGCCTGCTGCTCTGGCAACATCGGTCAGACTGTCCTGCCCTCCATGGCCGGTGACGACTGATCCACCAAATGAGGTGGAAGTCCGCAAGGAACTCCAACTATTGAAGCGTTACAAATCACCTGGTCCAGATGACTTACCTTCGGCTCTTTTTAAAGATGGTGGTGACTTTTTGACTAAGGAATTGACGACGTTGTTTACAAAGGTTTGGGAACTAGAGAGTGTACCAACGTCATGGAATGAGTCGATAGTTGTCCCTATCTTTAAAAAGGGTTCACGTCGTTCCTGTAACAACTATCGGGGGATAAGTCTACTTCCGATTGCGTCCAAGCTATTGGCTTCCGTCATTCTTCGTAGGTTGTTCAAAACCCGAGAAAGATTGACTCGCGAGGAGCAGGCTGGGTTTCGTTCTGGTCGAGGATGTATTGATCATATCTTCACCCTCCGCCAAATGTTAGAACACCGCCATACTTATCAAAGGCCAACAATCGTAGTGTTTCTTGACATCAGGGCTGCCTTCGATTCGTTGGACAGGGCTGTTCTCTGGTATTGTCTATTGAAGAAGGGTGTGTCTGAGAAGTTTATTAACATCCTAAAAGCCCTATATAAAAACACCTCAGGCAGAGTGAGGGCATATAACCACCTCTCTCCATTGTTCCATTCGAGTAGTGGGGTTAGGCAGGGTTGCCCAATCTCACCATTCCTCTTCAACTTTGCCATCGATGACATTCTGGAAACAGCTCTGATGAATGTAAGTAATGGTGGTGTGGATCTGTTGCCTGGAGAAAGACTTCTCGACCTTGAGTATGCGGACGATATTGTCTTACTGTGCGATAATGCCCAAGGCATGCAATCCGCACTTAATCAGTTGGCAATCAGTGTCCGTAGGTATGGTATGTGCTTTGCACCGTCGAAGTGCAAAGTACTTCTACAAGACTGGCAGGATTCCAATCCTGTACTCACCCTGGATGGTGAGCAGATAGACGTAGTCGAGAAGTTCGTGTATCTGGGTAGCTGCATAAGTGCTGGTGGGGGTGTGAGTGATGAGATCAATGCACGAATAGTGAAAGCCAGAGCGGCTTATGCCAATCTGGACCACCTTTGGCGCCTTCGTGATGTTAGTCTGGCTGTAAAAGGCCGGATCTACAACGCGTCGGTGAGAGCAGTTTTGCTCTATGCTTGTGAAACCTGGTCTCTCCGAGTTGAGGACGTCAGACGACTCTCTGTGTTCGATCATCGCTGTCTCCGAAGGATTGCTGACATTCAGTGGCAACGCCATGTCAGTAATGCAGAGGTTCGGCATCGTGTGTTCGGGCACAGGGATGATAATTCAATTGGTGTCACCATCTTGAAACACCGACTTCGGTGGCTTGGACATGTTCTACGAATGTCGTCCCAGAGAATTCCACGTCGTGCATTATTTGCCGACTCTGGGACTGGTTGGAAGAAGCGGAGAGGTGGTCAGTGCATGACATGGTGTCGTGGTATGAAAGAAAGCTGCAAAGGACTGGCTTCTGTTGGTCCTTCACGACTCCCTGGTTGGGGTCTGAGAGGTGGTGCTACACAGTGGCTAGAGACGTTATCAGATATGGCTCAGAATAGAAGCCAGTGGCGATCCTGCTGTAACCTTCTTTTACTTTCTTCATAAAAAGTGGTTGTGTCTCCCTTACCTGAAAGATTTCTTCCAATTGTACCTTCCCGTTCCATCATTACTACCACACTACCTTACACCAATCTCTTCGTTAGTGTTCTCTTTTTCTTTTGCGCTCCTTAGTTTTTTTTTTTGCTTCTCTTCGAATTCTCATTGTTTTGTGTGGCGCATATATGTTGGCGCTCTCTTGTACCAATATTCATGTGTTCTAATAAATAATAAATAAATTGTAATTCGTTGTAAATTTCAACTGTTTACGATTGATGGGAAACCTTGAAATGAGTTATTTATAAGATGGAAACTGGTTAATTTCTTTTAAATGTACCCAGATTATCGTTTAAAATGATAACCGGTATGTATACATTTCACTTTTTAGGGCAAATTGACGCGTTCTAAAACATTATCAAGTGGTACTGAACAAATCAGTAATTCTGAAGTAAGTCATATTTTAATATCTCACATCATCATACTGTTGTCTATCAATCATTCAACTTAGTTATGTAATCTTATGCTTGGAGATTTCATTATTGTTATTAATTCATTCCAGTGCTAATATAGGAGAACTATGTGTGTTCTCAGTTGTTTTGAAAGTATTCATCTTTCATATCAAATGTAATTACTGTGATATTTCTGCATTTCCGGTGATGTTATTATTTTATTATTTGAGTCTTGTCATTATAAAGCAAACTAGTCCTCGAGTGGAAGCCTGCCTTTTGTCAAAAAGCAAACTAGTCCATAAAAGCCACCCTTGAAAGTTCACTTTTGTATGGTCAATTGTAGTCTAATATTATTTGTAGTTATGTTATCTCTTTTTTTTAAATCAGTTATTCATCCGAGTACATATGAGCTAAGAAATATTACGTTTGTGCTGAATATATTTTAATCTACACTATGTACATCTCCTTACACTTGCCTTCAATCACATATTATCAACACTTATTCACAACATCCTTTAATTTTATCATTACTCTCTCTCTCTCTCTTGACCTATTTCCTATAAAGCATAATATGTATTAAACTATTTTGGATCCATATAATATTATATTGATTTTCTATTCTGTATTATATTTGCCATCATTTTACCTATCACGTTACAGTAATTTGTCTTAGCCTTTATTTTATATGGTCATTTGAATACTTTTTAAGTAGTTAAATTATAACTGAAGGGAAATTCACTATTTTCAATGTATAACACTAAATATTCCATTTAAATGAAGTAATCGGGAAACACTTGTTCTTCTGTTTGATTACATACTTTCTTACTGGATATGTTCACTTTCTTCGAATTTAGTTAATCAGTAACATGGTAGAACTTCGTACGTGCGTACATCGGTTCGAGTTGCTATACCACATTAGCACAAAGATGCAGTTGTCGATTGAAATCCCGTAGTGGTAGAGATAGTAAAAGTGTTAACAGTAATCGGAAAGATTAGGGCTTGAAGATGTTATTCAAGGAGTATAATCCAGTGAAATAAATTTGGAAAGAGAAAAAAGGAAGGGACATGGAAAATTCAGAATACTAGAATTTGGGAGAACACAAGTAGTGGGTGCACCTGCGCCATTGCAAACGATTATGAGCCATGTCATTCAGGGTCTCTAACCATCGGTTGCTATCATCTCACGAATCGCAACCAGATAGTCTACATCTACCAACATGACTCAGTCCACTTGTCAGTGACTTCATGGACTTGTGCCATGTTTTGGTGTGACCGCCCCTAGCTTTCTTCTGATCTACTCCTATACCATTGAACATCGCGCGTCGAGGCAGTCGGTGGTTGAGCATACGTAACAACCACCGACTTCGAATTTAACTTAGATCTTGACCATAAGCTAATGAGTAATCTGACTTCCTTGACACAACTCAACAAAAAGATTTCACATTAAAGTTTTATTTGTTCCATTCTGGAGTTTATAGTTCTCAAGAGTTTTTTTTCTTCTGAAGCAATTCACTACAAAGAAATATGAATGACTGTGTATATATTGGTTAATGGATTGAAATGTACGTGTCATAGGTATTAACGTAGTGTTTTGGTAATTTATTGAACCCTTCTTCATAATACAAGATGTTCACACTGTGTTAGGTAATTGAAAGAAGTCAGCGGGGAACTCTACACCTAGGTTCGTGCTAGTTGACACCGGAAATTTGGGAGAATTAGTGCTCCTTTTGGAGTTCAAACCCACGTTACAATTCAGCTATCAGATCCACTATTGATTTCCTATATGATTAGAGCTTTTAAATTGTTTAGTCACTATTTAGTAACCAACTTATAGCTTCATCAATAGAATTCTGTCATCATTGTGGGTTAGACAAACATAACAGTTGGTTTTCAATGATCAGTTAATGTAAACTCATAGCATACCTTTTTTGGAAAGAAGGTATTCGTATACTTTTGTAATCATCCTATGAATTGTTCATTAATTAATTTTTGCTTAACTTTATATACTCATTTTCTTGTATAAACAGAACACTACTAATACTACTTTTGCAACAGCAGAAATCACAACGAAATCGTGTAATTTAAGGACAAATAATAATAATTCAGTTCCTCAATCAGTATCAGTTATATCATCATTATCAACGTCGTCGTCGTTCAATCCCAATGATTCGAATGGTAATAATTACGATGAGAATAATATCGAAATAAATGAAAATGATTCTATACATTTTGATCAATTACTCAACGACGATATATTATTACATTCAAATAGAATAGATAATAAGAAATAATTATAAAGACCATAAATCCTAACTATTTCACAATATCCATTATATATTCAGTTTTGTATTGTTATGTTATTCAACTTAATTTTGTGATAAATGTACATCTTGTTTTTAGGATTAATACAACATATCAGTTTTTGTTTTTTCGGGAGGGGGGGGAGTATTTGTAACGCTAACTGTGATCCCGTTATCGTTTTTCTTCATTCAGTTCTACATACACTAAATTGTTTTTTTTTAAATTATCTAAATAGTTTATCTTTATTAATAACTTTTTTGTGTTTATCATATTTATAAATATCAATCATCTTATATTCTCGACATTTTGTGGTATTTGTGCTCTTCCGTTGTCTTATACCAATTAAAAACCAAAGTTATAGGATAGTGGATATTATCATCGACCCATAGTCTCTTTCTCACAATAAGCGTTACCATACTTCTAATGCAAATACGCGTTTTTTTCGGAGTTTTATACTGCTCAGTGAATTTTGAGAATTTTTCCGGCTTTTATGACAACTTTTATTGCCATGTTGTGTTTGTGAATCTTCATACACTGAAGTGGCTAAGACATGTGTTACGTATATTTACTTACCCTTTACCTCGACGGGTAATGTTTAGTTGTATAGAAGTACGTTGGAAATAAGCAAGGTTATCAGTCCATAAAGTCATTGGCTGTTTTTCTGAATCATGTTAATAAATACAGATTACTTGGTTGCGGTTTTCGCAATCACTGGCTGTAGAGTTTACGTTATATTGATTAGTATGTCGTTTTCACGATTCAGCATTCATGTATGTCCTTACACTCTGTCTTTTCGGACTCTGTTCTTAATGCTTAGTCTTTTGTGTTATCACTGGCACTACATTATTCCAACCATTCTTACTATACATTATGTAAATTATTCGTCCCGATGTAGTATGTCAACTTGCGCCAGTGCTCTGTGCTGATGTCAGTCAGTCAGTAACATGGTAGAACTTCGTACGTACGTACGTCAGTTCGAGTTGCCACACCACATTAGCACAGAGATGCAGTTGTCGATTGAAATCCCGTAGTGGTAGAGATAGTAAAAGTGTTAACAGTAATCGGAAAGATTAGGGCTTGAAGATGTTATTCAAGGAGTATAATCCAGTGAAATAAATTTGGAAATAAGAAAAAGAAAAGGACATGGAAAATTCAGAATATTAGAATTTAGGAGAACACAAATAGTGGATGCACTTGCGCCATTGCAAACGATTATGAGCCATGTCATTCAGGGTCTCTAACCATCGGTTGCTATCATCTCACGAATCGCAACCAGATAGTCTACATCTACCAACATGACTCAGTCCACTTGTCAGTGACTTCATGGACTTGTGCCATGTTTTGGTGTGACCGCCCCTAGCTTTCTTCTGATCTACTCCTATACCATTGAACATCGCGCGTCGAGGCAGTCGGTGGTTGGGCATACGTAACACATGTCTCAGCTATCTCAACTGATGAAGTTTCACCACTTCATCAATCGATTTGTCATCCTTACTTAGTACCCGTTTCCTAACAACTGTGTTACTTACTCGGTGTTCCCAGGATATACGAGCAATGTTTCGAAGACACCTATGATCGAATACTAGTAACTTAGGAATAACCTCTACTCTTACCGGCCATGCTTCACTGCCATAAAGTAGAACAGAACGAACTGCTGCGCAGTGAACCCGTGCTTTGGTTGATAGACGGATATCTCACCTACACCATAAATGACGCAAGTTGGTAAAAGCTAGTCGAGCCTGTTTTTCGTGTTGAGAAATACTACGATTGTGGGGCGTTTGAATTTGTGTCTGTGTCCAAGAACCTGACGTAGTGTGAATATCTGGTCTATGCATCCACGTCCGTGTCGAAAACATGTCCGATTTTCTCTAGTCTGCTCCTCACGACCTTTAGTTAGGCGTCGAAGTAGTATTGAAGCCAATATTTTAGACACTATATTAGTCAAACTGATTCCTCTGTACATGGGCTCCAGTATCCTGAGGGAACAAATGGCGTATGAACCAATTGTTGGTCACCGGCTTCCATGGGACTGCATCTCCTTACGATGCTCCACTGCCTCGGGGTGTGGACCCCTAAGAAAACCACCTGGTACGGTTTGGGCACCCGGTCAGTATCACAGCCCTCACACATATCCAATAAGATTTGTGTGGCGCATATTTATTTGGTGCCTCTTTGTACCATTATCTATGTGTTAAAATAAATAAATTCACAAGAGGACTTTTGTCCTTTCTTATAGACTGGCACAATCAGTGATTGAGACCAGTCAGATGGGATTACGTCCAGTTCCCAAATTCTACCTAAGACCTCGGTTAATCTCATTGCTATTACTGGACCATCATCCTTAAAAATCTCAGGAGTAAACCTGTCAGGGCCTGCTGCTCTCCCTCGCTTCAGATTTCCTATGGCTTTTTCAACTTCGTAAAGAGACGGAGGACCTACAATAACTTGCCATTCAGGTTGACTGGAGATCGTGGGAAACCGGTGTGGCTGAAGGCCTGTTGAACTGATCCCTAAAGTGTTCTGCCCATTGATCCAATCTCCTGGATTGAGAATGTATAATATCTCCATCTTTCTCTGAGATTGTTTCGCTAACAGTTGGTTTCCTAATTCCAGTTTCCTTAACGAGTCTGAACAATTGTCTGCTATTACCTATTGCTGCTGCTTTTCCCATCTGTCTTGCTTTCGCTACCCACCACTGTTCGTGATCATTGCGTAGGCTTATTGTCAGCTGGCGCTTAAGCTGACTCCGCTCTTCATTATGTTCAGAGCCAGGTGGAATGGGTTTCCGAGCATCTATCAGTGCGATAGATGCTGCTGAGATCCAGTGTTGCTCCCTAACCTTGCGGGTTACCTTACTAGCAGATATCACTGCTGTTTCCACAGCTTTTCGGATATCATTTCATGCTGCCTTGGGGTGGGCATCACATACATGGCTGCCTAACTGTTTTCCTAGTTGTTCCTGAAATATGCTCTTAGCTTGACTATCATTAAGTAGGGCCCTAAGAGGTTTCCTTGTAGCGTCTTTCCTACGTCCAGTAAGACGCAGACGAGCATGCGCTCGTACTAGAGCATGATCTGAATCTGAGCATGTGCTCCAGAATGAGCGACAGTCTTCTATCGAACCCCTTCATCGGTGGCTGATAGCGATGTGATCTATTTGGGTCCAACGTTGGGACGAATTAGGGGGTCACCATGTTAAAAGATGTTTTTCCTTATGCTTAAAGTTAGTATTTGCGAGAAGCAGGCGGTTATCTGAGCATATTTGCAACAGACGGTCGCCATTATCTGTTCTTTGAGCCACGACACCATAAGATCCACCTAGGTTTCTTTCCCTATCGCTTAGTTTACCTACTTGAGCATTAAAGTCACCAGCCACCATTACTACATCAGAGCGCCTAGCTTTTCGGAGAAGGTCGGAAAGCTTTCTGTAAAACTCGTCTTTTACATCATCTGAGCTGCAGTCAGTGGGAGAATAGGCAGAGACGACGAAGAGGCAACGACGAGTATCCCTATCTTTCCGGATCTTTACTGTTCCGTTGGGTCGGACCTTGTACAAACGACTGTCTACTGGGATCCAGTCTAAGAGAGCTAGTTCTGCCCTAGGGCTCAATGCTATATCCACACTGGCGAGGCTACGAGAAGCCGTATCAGGGCTTCCAGAGTTGGTTATTTATTTTGATATGGTGAGGTTTTAGTGGCCCGTGATCTGACTCCACTTTGATCATATAAATGTTTGTTATCTCCTGATCCTCGTATGCAATCATCGACTTAAATCGCGTTAGTCAATAACGGAATTAAATAAGTCAAATAACGGGAGTGGACTTTTGGATACATATATTTTGTATATGAAGGTAATGGAACAGTGAGAAGAGAAACGACGCAGAGTGGAGATGGCTGGTAAGCCAACTCCCCTTTAACCAAGCGCTAATCAATATTTATGGTTACAAAAAAATAAGTTACTGATACGTGATGAGTAATGGGATAAGAAATGTACACCCACCTACGCGCTCACATGAAAACAGTCAAGATTGGTAAGCGAATAATTAACAAGGTCAGAATGTGACTCAAGTAGAATGAATAGATTGAGCTGCCCGAAAGCTAGAATAAGATATATGGGCTTAACATAATAACCGACACTACAAGGTCAAATGAATGACGCTACTCGGATACTGTATGCGCGTTTCGGAGACGTAGCACACATTGATGGCGCGAGATTCTAAAGTCCTAGCTAAAGAAGCCTGCTGTCCTATTTGGCACAGTGTTCGGACGTTATAAGCTCCTACGTGTAGTTTAGAGCGTGGTTTCAGGGGACCAGGAATAACGTTCCACGTACTCGAATCGTTTGCCCTAGTGGTGTGAGGTGATAAACGGACGTGATAGGGGTTAGTCGTGGAGATAAGAACGAGAGGTATTATGAGGTATGGGAAGGATTTGAATGTGACCAACTTGGTCTCGTGTGCTGTTACGGGTGTGAGGGCTGATGTCACTTCCCGGCTGGCCACACCCTGGGAGGGTCTTCTTGGGGAACCTGAAAAGGAGATCGGCTTAGGGTTGGTCTTAATGACCTGGGGGCGTGACCACAGAGCCCAGGGAGCAACTGTTTGAGGCCGGTCACTCACGGCCTTTTCGTGGAAGGTTTTTTATGTGTTAGCTCCGTTCTTCAAAGGGTTTTACCACCGGAGACGGAAATCCGTGAGGTGTGAGATTTTTAGGGTCGACCTTTTCTGACCCCTTCCTTCCTTGTGAAAGGCAGCATCGCTGCAGATGCTGGTTGTTCGAGGGAAACACCTTACAGCGTCACTTTTCACTGCACTAGCAAGCAACTTAGCGTGAATACAGCGACTTATTCACAAGTCCTATGTTTTGTAATTAATGGATGTGCGTATGCTGCAACTGAAGTAACTAGGAAGGGGGCAGGTGACTGAGATACCTAAACCTACCCCACAGTGATCTGACATTGATGTGGTTAAAGTTATCGGATTCATTATTGTGGTTGAATATCAGCAAGGTGAAGGCGCAGCTTGTATCTTTGAAAGTGTTTAAATGGCTTAATACCGTAGAGAAAAGGTGATACTTCCGTTATTGGTGAGAGGTCACGTGAGTCTCGAAGAGCATGTGTCAGTGATCTCGAGCTCGCCTTTAGATCACGTCCCAGTATTATACTCCGAACATACCTAGTTTGCAGTTGATACACGGATAAACGAAATTTACTGCCTTTAAAAACAACAAAAGGCTCAAGTTCACCATAACTAACTACTAAGGAATTTGCTTCTAAGTTGACTCCGCTGACAGGACTCTCTAAACGAATGGATTTTGATTCTCACAATAACATTTTATATTATGCTTCAGGTAGATTATTTCATTTTCATTTGACTTTTGACTTTCAGCCCCCGGGAAATGATAGGTTTGTTCACCACGCAGTCTTGAACTTCTTGTTACATGGCTACTTATCAGGGGACAAGAACATAGGCTAGTCGACCAGTCATGCGCAACGTAGAACTTATTACATGTGCACATAGGTTAGAGTTGCTATAGTCTACTAGCAGATTGAGATGAGGTTGTTAGGATGAATCACAGAGTAGTTGAAGCAGTCATGGTGTGGGTGTGGTGCGTGCTACTTATATTGACATTAGTAG